CAGGCAGGCAGGCAGGCAGGCAGGCAGGCAGGCAGGCAGGCAGGCAGGCAGGCAGGCAGGCAGGCAGAAAGAGAGACAGACAGACAGACAGACAGACAGACAGACTAAATGGTTGTTTTAGACATATAAATGTCTTCCTGGACCTTATCAAGAAATACCACAATGTATCTATGAAGAGAAAATCCACTAATAAGTCTCATTAAAGGGAGGCCAGTAGTGATAAGGAAAATGTACTAAGCAGCCAAATCAGTTTGAGATATTGGAGAGCCACAAAGCAAATTTGTCTCCTTTTGTTTTCGCTCAGTTTGTTGCCCTATCCCTGAACCCTCATCTTGCATTATAAAGGAGAATGTATGTGGGCTATGCCTTTCTTGCTCTCCAGCTATCTGAAAGAGAGAAGCAGCCAGAAAACCTCAGCAACAAAGGAGGAACTTCAGCAACAAAGGAGGAGAAACAGTGCCAAGGGGCTTCGCTCCTCAGAGTGGGTGGTCTGGGTTCAGGCCTAGACAGATACTGGCACTAACTCAACTAATTAGTGATCAATGTTATTTGCACACTGCTGCTTTTGCAATGACACAATATTGGAAAAAGTAAACTTATTGCCATCACTTCCACCACCTCTTTTTTTTTTTAATGTGGGAGAGGAATCCCTCGCAGAATGTTTGTATAAGGTATTCGCAGATGACCTACAAGAAATGTAAACATTAACTACTGCACTGACGTCTATGCCAAAAAAAAGCAGTACATTTTTTTAGGAAGCAGGTTTGTTATTCATCGGATCAACAGCACAATAATTGTGAAACTGGAACACCTCACTCACTCTCATCCCCCCCTTCCAAACCAATCCAGTGTAGCGATGTTACAATCCAGGTTATATTTAACCTGCTTTCCAAATCCTCCTCATTCCCTGACCATCATGTTATTTTCTTGTTTATTGAAATCTGGCATGTTTCTAACTGGGCCCAAAGTTTTGTGCAAAGAGTCAAAGTACTCAACTTCGAGCATGATCTCTATGCCTTATTTGTTGATTTGAAGAGACTTGCTGTACTAGGACATAATCCACATTCAAGTACACTGAGCTATTCAGCACAGCTCTCCGCTCTCTTTCCCTTATTCCTCAGGATGCACCTTTGCTACTTAATCAGTAAGTACTGAATTGCTCTCTGACTCCGCTTCTTCATTCACCATTTAAGATCTTTCCCTTTCCCTTGCTGATTTGGAAATGGAACAAAGCTGCCTAGTTGCCATTCCCAAGCTGCATCAACATCCAATAGTAAAGAAGGGGCCAGCTTGACAGTTGTATTGAACGATGTGTGGCTTGTTTCTTGGCTGTGCCCAAGCAAAAGTAGGAAACGTAGCAAAAATGTTCCCACAAGGTCTATTGTTGACTCCTAGCACGCGCTACCAGCAATGACAGTAAAGCCATCCATTTGGCAGAACTGGAAAGCACATATTCCTTCAGACCTCACTTCCAGACAAATCCACGGACAGCACAGCAAATTGTAAATACACAAATGTGATTAGTTCTTTGGCACAGTTATTACAGGAAAGGGGAGCATTCATCCAAACACTGTACTTTGGCACTTTTGTCTTTAAAATCCTCCAAGCATACAGAACCCCAATCCTATTCATGGGAACCTAGTAATTGTTACATATTGCATCAATGTGCACCACGAAGTGTATGAGGCCATGAATGAAGAAAATAAACTGCTTGTTACAATCTCAGGACTTATTCCCACATTAATAAAAGTTTCCTTCTAATCGGCTGGGCCATCCAAACGCACCAAAGCGATTCTTTAGTTGTACCATAATACATCCAAATAAACTGCTGGTGATAGAGTGCTAGAATCTGAACTCTGATGGAACATACTTATTCAGAAATCAACTTCTTCATGGGGATATTTAAATTATAACTACCAGTGTAAAAAAAAAGTTTCACATAATTACAATAACCTCCCAAAAGGAATAAGCTTCCAAATAAAAATCCCAATTTCAATGTAACATAAACTTAATCCCCTTGGTAGAAAGGGGGCAATAAAGGCCTTTTAATTTACTTAAATGTATGCAAGATCACTCTGGATGTATCTGCATTCTGCATTGCCAGTACTATTTTTTAATAATCCTAAATTTTTGCTTTAGTATCAGATTCCCCCAATCCATATAAAGGTCTTAATGTGCACAATTACATTCTACATGTGAGCTTTATGAATGTGCTCTGTAATTAAACCAGCACAGAATTTTTATGGGTGGTATTAATCACACAAAATATACCCTACCAGAGAAAATATCTCAATTCTCCCTCACGCTAAATGGTTTTTCTTTACATGTGCAAGAATTACATTAATTACATGCATACATACACTAACCTTTACTGTGTCCAAAGGATGCCCCACAATAACACCTGCAGCTCCTGAAATTTAAAATAATAATTATATAGTTTCATGGGGAAAAACAACAACAAAAGAACTTTTTTCTGTTCATTCCCAGCATTTGTGTCACCATAATAATCACAATTCTTCCTTGTTCAGCTCCCACTGTCAGAACTATGTGACCGATGAAACAATTGGAACTATAGATGGCCAGTAGAGAAGCACATAGGAGCCACTGCAAGACAGCCCACAAGCAGTAGTTTTCACCTAAGTTCTAAGAAATATGAAAGAAAGAAAAGTTGCTATTGTGGGAGGACATGTGGCTTTTAAGACCTGTTCTTAGGAAACTTGTGAGCTGGTTTCTTCTTTTTAAGTTGTCTCTATGATTCTGTGTGTGTGTGTGCTTTGTTTCCCCCAAAATAAGACAGGGTCTTATTTTCTTTTGACCCCTGAAATAAGTACTTGCCCTTATTTTCGGGGAGGTCTTATTATTTTTGAGGTTCAGGAGGGAGCAAGCATGGTCACCTCATGGCTGCTGCTGTGTTGCATTATTTTTGGGGAGGGCTTATTTTCAGGGAAACAGGGTACGTATCTGTATATCAGAGATTGGTTGCTGCTGGTTCAGCCTGGATCGGCTGAACTGGCAGTAGTGGTGGCGGGAGGCTCCGCCCACCCACCCAGATGCTTCTGCGTATGCACAGAGGTGGTGCGCGCACACCTGTACGGGAGTGCACCCAAACTGGTAGTAAAAATTAGCAACCCACCTTTAATGTGTGTGTGTATATGCATATATTCCAGAGAGTTCAGTAACACAGTGTCCGTAACCAAATTCAGAAACTGTCACAAAGCATTAATTTAAGAAGAAATTACAACTCTGCTATTCACACTGATTTGAAAATTAAACAAAATTAGATGCTGACTTCGACTACCCAACTTTGGAACAAGGAGGAAGATAATTTTCATTGATTCTTTCTTGCACCTACAACATTCTCTGCCACCAGTGCTCACCTGGAGAGCCACTCCTATGATCAGGGATAAATGGCCAATTTTAATTCACTGCAGGAAGATTCCCTAAATAAAATTTCCATTGTTTCATTTAACTGATTGTTCTTTAAATGTTCTTTTCTTGGATTTGTGATTCAGGTAATTTGCTGGTGCTGAATAATGTTTAATCTTTTAGTAAGCTTTAGAAATGACTACCCCTTATTTTAATTAAAGAATCTAACTGGTTTATTTAGCTTTTCCTAATCTGATCTATAACAGTGTCTTACTTTTTTGTATGGGAACATAGCGATAGTGCTTAGACTTATATACCACTTGCCCTCTCTAAGCAATTTACAGAGTCAGCATATTACCCCCAACAATCTGGGACATAATATGTTTATTGTATAAAGGATAACTCTCAAAATAGACGCATTTCCATCATAATGTATATTCTGTAAATAAGAGGTTTATTTCTGGCTATATGAGTAACTGACATTTGCTGTTAATGACTGATCAGTGTAACTGTTGCTATCTGTACTGGAAAGGTAATAGGTCATTTACATTTTCCAAAGCATTCATTCCACAGCATTTTACAGCTTGACAGTATTATTGTTCAAGGAGTCATCAGATATTAAGAAATGTGACCTGTCTAGATTGACAGGTTGTTTGGTTGCAGATGTTTCATTAGTCAACTAGGTAACATCATCAGTGCTTGTGTATATAGGACTTGCTTCCTACTTATATACAGTAAGTTGCCTAGCCAGCATTGGTGGTGGTTCATTGATTAGAATATTGTATTTTCCTTGATTGTTTGTCTGGATAATCTCTGCTTGGTAACTGATTTGTCTGAATGCTGAGCTTCTAGGATTTCCCTAGCAACAATACAGAATACCACAAAAGGAAATAGGCCACCCCTGCAACATCTTCCAACAAAATGGGCAGCACACAACTTTATCAGAAAGTGCCTGACCACACAACCCACTATAGCACAACTAATAGGAGCTATGAAAAAGGTAACATTGCCATACATTTAAAACATCTTAGAAATTACCAATAGATTATACAACCACAAAGCCTCATTTTAGCACATAATCCAACTAAAATCCTACAAAACATATGAAGTAAATCAGAAGATCTAATAACCCAAGAAATAAAAACAGGAGTCATGTACCACATACAATATAAGAATTTTAACAACCACTGTGTAGGACAGACAGGCAGAAGATGAGCACATCAACTAGCAATCAAAAGACACAATGAAAACTGCTTAATCTCATAACACATGGATAAACCCAACTATAATTTCAACTGGGAAACTGTGAGTATCCTAAACAAAAAATTGCTATAGACTAACTGGAAGCTTGACATTCAGACAAATCAACAATCAACAGACATAGAGAAATTCCACATTTACACACCATTCAAAAGATACAATAAACAGCTAAGAAGGAAACAGACCACAATAATTCTCTCCAACAACTAACACCCAGAAAAGCAGGGTCTAATACAAGACTGGTTATTATGCTTGTATGTATATGTATTTTAACATGGTGGGATCTCTGAACTTGGCAACTTTAAGACTGGCTGAGGAATTCTGGGAGTTGAAGTCCACAAGTCTTAAAGTCACCAGGTTTGAAGACTCTTGGTCTAATGAAAGGGCATAGTAAGCTGCTGTCTGTGCTGATTGCCCTGCAAGAATGTTGACAAAGTATCTCAGAGTAGACAGTATTGTCTTAAAGCAGCTTAAAGTTAAACCAGCATGAATACAGATCAGGAGCAGTCGAGAGACTGCTGTGTGCAATATAACCTGAATTTGAAAATGGAAAGATTATTTTCTTCTCCCTCCCAAAAGCAAAAGACCCTTTGAATCCCTACTTTCCATACTTATGGGCATATATGGGGCATCCGCTTAATGAACAGAAGAAACAGAAAAAATAGTAATTTTCATTTGCTAAGACTATCACCCTCCATATTTCTCTCCCAATTATCTTCTATACTGACTGCAGTCAAATTAAGTGTATTCTGACAATTTTTGCTAGAAACTACACAAATTGCAAACAAAGGCAACTGGCAATTTATTAAAAAATTGTCTTACCAGGACTATAAAATAATGAGGTTTACTGCTTGGTATCATGAAGCCACAAGCCAACTATGAGTCTTGCATTGATTATTTAAATTGCACTGGCAAGCTCTTAATGTCAGACTTTATAGAACATAAATTACTATTACCAGTACATTACAGGTAAAAATTTTATTACTATTACTGGTAAATTATTATTACCAGTAATAAAGGATAACCACCAAGCATGCTCGGCAAGATACAATAATTCCCAGGTGAAAAGATTAAGAGAATGAAATGAACATGACCATATATTTTTATATATAAACTTTATTCAAGCACATGTGTTAATAACTGTCTCTCCCTCCAGAGTTATTTTATTAAGGGAGCAAGTTCATCAAGTAATGGAATCTATGCAAGGACTTTTTATCATGTCAGCATGTGCAACTCTACTTTTTTACATATATACCATTGAAACGCAATATATAACTCAATATACTCCATAAGTAATGCCAATGTATAATTCTGAGTTGAAGAGAAGACGTATGCAGATATTCAGAAAACATAGTAGATAGTCAGGACTAAAATTAGCATACCGTATATACTCGAGTATAAGCCGACCCGAATATAAGCCGAGGCACCTAATTTTACCACAAAAAACTGGAAAAGTTATTGACTCGAGTATAA